CCTGCAGCGCCCCGTTGAAGCCGTGCACGTGCTTAACGTCGCCGCTCGGCCCGAAGACGACGAAGGTGTCCTTCGTCCCCATCAGGAGTGCGAGCAGCCGCTGTCGAGCAGGACCACTGCCGGGTTCGCCTGCACTGCTGCCGCAACCGCTTGGAAGTCCTCGCTAGCCTCCGGCGCCAACGAGACGGTCGGCTCCACGACGCCGACCAGCGAGCACGACGCCTCCTTGTCGTCTCGCCCTTAGCTGCTGCCAGAGGAGGAGTCGACGTCCTTTGCCGAGGTCGACGACTTGGTCGACTGCTTCTCCTTGCGCAGCTTGCTTTTCCGACGTGGGCGCCAACCTTCTCCATGACCGCCATTCTTGGCCGCCATTCTTCTTCTCGACGTCCTTCGCCGGCTTCCCACCTCTGCTTCCACCGCCACCAGGCTGGCTGCGCTGCCTCGGTTGACCACCTTGTTTTGTCGAGGCAGGGTAGTTTACCTGTGGCAGGAGCTCTGAGGGTCTGTCGGCCTCCTACATTGCCTCGTCCGGAAGGATGTACGAGGTCAGCGAGTCCTCGTTGAGCGACTCCCTCGTGTTCGGCACCACCATCAGCCGCTTCATCAAGTTGTAGCTGCTCGAGAGCCCCTTCTGGACGTGCGTGATATACGACGCTGTCGAATGCTGCACGCCGGCCATCTTCATGTTGACGGAAAGTCGTCGAGCCCGGTTGCAGTAGTCGATCGCTGTCTCTTGGTCGCCCATCCGCAGGTGCGTCATCTGTTGCTCGAGCTCGCCGATGTACAGGTCGTCCGTGACCTGGTACGTCGACTCGATGAAGTGCCACGCCTGGTGGCCAGTGTCCAAGTAGTCCCTGCACGACTTCAAGGCGATCTGCACGCCCGGCGAGCAGCACCGCGAGATGACCGTGAAGGTGAGCAGCTGCACGGCGAGGAACTCCGCGCGCAACTCGGGGTTGCTCGTAGGCGGCGTTTCCACGCCACCCTCGGCAAAGCACATGAGCTCGGCCATCTCCAGCTAAGGCTCGATGGCCTCCTTCCATGTGAGGAGGTCGTGGCGGCTGACCAGCAGGGGGCTGACGGCGATCCTGTCCGGCGTAAATTTGAAGTAGTTGTAACTCGGCGCTATCCCACCTGCAGTCACGTGGGTCGTCGACGTCGGCGTCACTCCGCTTCGTCGTCCTTCGACATCGCCTTGCGATGACCTTGCACCCATCGACAACTGCAGCCCTCGCACCTAAACGCCGCCGACTTCATCGGCATGAATCACACCACGCTGCCTCGACGTGCCTCCCACACTGCTGCCGACTTGGTCACCGGCGTTGACGCTTACGTCGACGCCGCCCTCGTTTTTCACCAGTCGAGGAGATGCAGGTCGAGAAGAGTGCTTCGCTGCCCACGCGGCGCGGATGCCTGCCTCGACGACCGCCAAGGGGAGCGTCTCCTTGTACTCGCGAGCCAAGTGGCGTCTCCTCGCATCCTCCAGCCGTGCCTCCAGGGTGTCCACCACCCCTGCGTCACCTACGCCTGCCATGGTGACTAACACACAGCCGCTGGCCTACGAACACGATAGGTGAGTGCAACTAAGTCGACTAGACTGAAAGGTAAGTCGCGGTGCCGTCCACGCTCACCGCACCATGCGGGGATAACTAAAATAACGGGAGCTTCACTATGGGGAAGGCACGGGTGTGAGGATGATCTCTGCGCTCGTTCCTCGTTTGCTCGTGATCACACTACTCGCACATTCACGGGGAAATCTGGCAGCATACATGAATGCATTCTCATTGAATTTCATATCTAACAGGCCCAAACCACATTCTGAGTCGCCCCGCACCAATCGCGACATTCCCGAGCCACGCACATCACGAGGTCAACGCCTAGCACGTATTCGCCCTATAAATGCTCGCTTTCTTCATTGTTTCTTCATTCTGTATTTAAGGTTTCTTTATAAAGTCTTCCACGCACTCTGTTTAGTAGAACTAAGGGCGCGTGCGTTCCGTCAAATTTGACAAAGTTTATGTTTTGGGGGCAAATATTTTTTAAAACTTAAGTCGAATTGAATTCGACTTTCTTTGTAGCGAAGTTCGAACATTGCGGGAATAATACTGCATAGATGTAATCACGCACGCAAGGTCGAACACCAAAATTCGAACCTTAATGTTACCCGATACATTCTCGCCAAGTCAACAGACTGCTTCTTTTTGTTTCGCAATGCACTCGTCAATTTCGCATGGTCTTCGTGCGTGCCGAAAACACATACGCTCGCTTCAACGTATACATGCACGTTCATCTATTCGACTCGAGTCAAGTTCACTTTTCACGTTCGAACTTTTATAAGCCCTAAAATTCGTGATGTTCGTCAGATGTCATGGACAAAATTTGCGAAAGCGGTAACCATACAAAGTTCGAACTTATTTTCGAACTTGGAAACGGAACACACGCGCCCCAAATAACACACGATAAATCTGGTTCAGGCTAGAGCGTCTGGCACGCGGAGCAGAGATGTTGGAAAAATTGCGCGACGCGACAAACCCCGAACTTCTCTCAATCCCATCGACCAAGCTCGCACCGTAGGTAGGGCGATCCGAACCTCGTCCAAATGGATCGACTTACATGCACTTACACGTTATTCTCAGAGAGCCAACGTGGTCAATTTAGCATTACAGGCGCCTTTTTTTCTATGGGTTAGATTTCTCGTACTGCATCAGTGTGGTCTCAATCTTTCATGAAAGACAAATCTGCCACCTATCGCGTCAAATAAGTCCTCATGCGTGGACTGGCTTTGTCTTATGCTTCGTTTGTCTCGTTATAATGTTGGATGGTTCAGACTTAGCAGGTAGTGGGTCATGATAGAACGCGTTCATGTGCATGACAATTCTGCGATCGAGCGACTGCTGGCAACTTTCACCGCTCGACGATCCTTCCAAACGCATCACACACCTTTGTAGCTATGTACATCGTCGTAACAAATCCCGGATTTGGCGCGAGCGTTTCCAACATCGGCTCATGGTAACGCGCCCTTTCATCACCAGCGAGATCTATTCGTGATCATTCGTGAACATTCACGCGTAACAGACAAAACCACCAATGTCGCAAAAATTTTACCTTGTTTGGTCGAAACCACACAAGGCACCTGCCAACAAATTGCAGAACATGCTTACCACTTCGCCCGTCCGAAACAATGACATCTCACCTGGGCAACTGCTCTTTCGATGCCAAAAGAGATGTTACAATCGCGAAGGCGCATGTAGGTCGATCCATTTGGACGAGTTTCGGATCGCCCTACCTGCGGTGCGAGCTTGGTCGATGGGATTAAGAGAAGTTCGGGGTTTGTCGCGTCGCGCAATTTTTCCGGGGATGTTGGACCGAAATGAGCCAGGCGCGTGTACGGTTGCATCGCGCAATTTCGTCACGCATGTGACTGACTGTTTTGCGAAATGTCGCGCGTGTGCACGACGTGCAGACCAAGCATTTTTTCCTCGCACGAATCGTTTCACGAGTCCTACCGCTGAGCTCAGACTGGTCAACGACAATGCTTTTGTGATGCTCACCTGCTGAGAACGATGCTTGCTTACTGAACAACAATGACTGATTCTTTGTGTTGGACTTTGGCTGACTGGGATGTGAGCGACCTCAATGACCCGCAACATAATAAATGTTCTCCCCTGGCACGGAGATACTATCCCAGTCAGACATTCATCCCAGCCAGACACTTAGCAGTCGCATCTCGTTTCGCCTGGGCGCCGATACATTCGCGACGAGTTACGAGGGTTGTTCAGCGTGGACGGGGAACTGCATCGCGAAAAAGGACTTGCCAGTAGGCTGCAGGAAAGTTGCAGAAAAGTAACTCGGCGGATACTTTGGTTTTGCAACTTCGCAGTGATGGACAACAGTTGCAGAAATGCGAGTCACTGGACAGTTGACAAAAAGTTGCAGGAAAGTTGCAAGAAAGGTGCATTCCAGCAACAGTTCCGCAATTTCGCGTACACTCGTCGGATACATTTCAATCACATGTATGCAGTTTCACGACCTGCCACGTGGCATGCGTACAGTTTGGAGTTCGAAGTGTACGTACGTCGGTACGTTCGCGAAGATATTTTGCCACGTAAGCAAAGATATTTCTGCCAGGTGTCATTCTCAATATGTGAACGCCAGCTTGCCACGTGGACCAATCAGACAAGACTTCGCGTGTGCGAAAATTGAATACTACTGGCCGAGAATTTGTCTGAACAGTACAAGCGGACCATTCGTTTCAAGGATTATTTGTTACAGGTGGGGTTGGAGGTAATCTACAATATTATGGACGTCTGCATACATATGATGTATACACATTTAGTCAACACGAAACACCTAAAACCAACAATCACTAAGCGTCTGGTTCTACATGTAGTCACACAGGGCGAAATCATGCTTCGTTTTAAAGCCTGCAAACACAAAGACGACATAATGTTAGACCTTGGTTAGTCATATGCTTGTTCCCCACCTTAGTGACTTATCACCCAGGGCCTTGACGTAGATAGATAATATTGCCGTCAATGTGCTTCACAGGGCCTGGATCTTGATACCCCCCTGCATATGAAAATTAACATCTCGTGACTTCCATTAACCCTGCACATGAATATTAAACCTGAAACACGATGACTAAGAACAACAAACATGAAAACGTTATCGTTAAAGCCTACATTCCAGACAACATGGGTTAAAAACGCGCATGGTTCTTATCAGAGGCAGAGAGAGACCTTCGCGCGACTACCACACCTTCTCTCTCATGCAGAGAGCGTAGAGACGATTTGTGTAGTGGGAGGCTGCACAGGAAAACAACAACGAACCTGTTAAAGGTGGCACAGGCGTGCAATTTGAAATGGGAGGAAATAGATCTGCATTCATTATGGGAAGAAATGAACCAAATCGAGAAGAGAAGAAGCCTAAAACGTGAGAAGAAATGAAAGAGTGAGGATAAGAACAGGAGTGATGGGCGTCACATGATTCAGTATGCTTACAAATTTCAGTATGCAGCTGAACGTGTTTAGTACACACACCGGCGCTTTCCGCGCCGAACAAGGCGCTTCCGCAGCCGGGCAACGAGCTTTTCGTCGCTGCGTCCGTAGGTTGACGGGTGCTGAGTCCGCGGCGATTCGCGCGCAGAACGTCTTCCGAGTGAGTTGAGCAAGGCGACGAGCTGTATATGGGACGGGAGGTAGAAAAAAAGGGTAAAGAAATGAAAGGATGAGACGGTAGATCTGGGCAGATGTTGAAGGATTGATACTTCATACACTAGTTTATTAGATACACAACGTAAGACGTACGTTCTACGGTATACGCTTGCTGAGGGGACGGCAGAGACACGAGGTGGGTCGAAATGGAACAATAACCTGAGCAAGATGTGTGAACATCAGCTGGGCAACTAGCGGTTTAGGGAGAGATACACTCGTAGTGTGATGCTTCTAGAGCTCCAATGTGTGATGATGTTGTTAAACTGTATTATGCTTGTAGGCTGTAGTGGGGTAGCCAATATGGGGTACAACCCCAACTAGGGTTTCATATTTGTACCCAAACTTCTGCTAGTTCAATCATTCTTGCCTAGTTCTCTTGAAATGGTATTCAGAGCAGGAGGTCCCTAGGACCTACCGACCGTTTTTTAAGGGCCCACCACCGCTCGCATGCGGTTACCACGCTACCCCGTGCCCTAGCCTCGTAGCGCCCTCGTGCGCCCTCGTTAGCGCCCTCGCGCGCACCCTCGTTAGCGCCCTCGCGCGCCCCTTCGTTAGCGCCCTCGCGCGCCCCTTCGTTAGCGCCCTCGCGCGCCCCTTGCTAGCGCCCTCGCGCGCCCCTCACTAGCGCCCTCGCGCGCCCCTCGCCGAGCCGCCCGCTCGCAGCCCGCCCGCCCGCTCGCTGCCCGCTTCGCGGCCCGCTCGCTACGCAGCCCGCCCGCCCGCTCGCTGCTCGCTTCGCGGCCCGCTCGCTTCGCAGCCCGCTCGCTCGCTGCCCGCTTCGCGGCCCGCCCGCTTCGCAGCCCGCTCGCTCGCTGCCCGCTTCGCGGCCCGCCCACTTCGCAGCCCGCCCGCCCGCTCGCTGCCCGCTTCGCGGCCCGCCCGCCTCGCAGCCCGCTCGCCCCGCTGCCCGCTTCGCGGCCCGCCCACTTCGCAGCCCGCCCGCCCGCTAGCTGCCCACTTCGCGGCCCGCCCGCATCGCAGCCCGCTCGCCGTGCTGCCCGCTTGCAGCGCCGCCTGCCCGCCGCGCTGCCCGCTTCCCGGCCCGTCCGCCGCGCTGCCCGCTCGCAGCGTCGCCCTCCCGTCGCGCTGACCGCTTGCAGCGCCGCCTGCCCGTAGCGCCAGCCTCGCCCGCTGCTCTCTATCCGTGCACAGTCGCCTTCCCCTGCTGCGGCAGCTTGCGTTACTCTGTCACACTGTCGCTATGGCTTCCATCCGCGTGCTGTCGTTCGATGCTGAGGGCCGCCCTGTGCGGTTCACCGCTTGGCTAGATGACCTGCAGCTGTTTCTCCTGAGCGATAGCAAGGAGCATGTGTCGCTCTATGATTACGCGTCTGGTGCTGCGCCTGCCCCTCCTGCCACAGCTGAGCTTAGTGTTCGTTCCCACTGGCAGACTCGTGACGCAGCTGCTCGCCTAGCCATTCGCAGTCACCTGCCGTTAGCTGAGCTAGAGCATTTTGGCGACTGCAAATCCGCTAAGGCCCTGTACGACGCTGTCGTCGCTCGCTACTCCTCGCCTGCCACAGCCGAGCTTAGCCGCCTCATGCTGCCGTACCTGTTCCCCGATCTGTCCACCTTTACTACAGTCGCCGATCTTATCACCCACCTTCGCACTAGTGATGCTCGCCTGCGTGCCGCCCTTCCCACCGAGTTCTGCGCTAAGAACCCCCCTCCACTGTACTGGACACTCCACTTCATAGTCACCCGTCTCCCTGACACCCTCCGCTCAGTTCGAGACCACTTCCTTGCTCGCTGTCCCACTGAGCTCACAGTCGCCCTCCTAGAGGAGCACCTGCTCGCGGCCGAAAAGAGCATTGTAGCTGTCGGTGCTGCTCGTGGCGCTCCTCGCACCCCCATCTTTGAGGGGTGTTCTCCCTCTCCCCTCGCTCCCTCCTACGCTGCTGCTGCTGCTGTTGACTTCCTTGGTGCTGAGTCTGTTGGCGCTGCTTCTACTCCTGGTGGGAGGCGCCGCACCGGCAAGGGCAAGGGGGGCAAAAGTGGTGGTGGTGGCGCTGGGGGGGGAGGAGGTGGGGGAGGTGGGGGGGGAGGCGGTGCTGGAGGGAGCGGTGGCGGGAGCGCTGGTGGGAGTGGGGTCGGTGGTGGAGACGGGGGCGGCGGAGGAAGCAGTGGCAGTAGTGGCGGCGGCGGCGGTGGCGGCGGTGGCGGTGGTGGCGGTGGTGGCGGTACCGGTCGGAGCGGTGGTAGTGGTGGCGGCGGAGGTCGGAGTGGAGGCACTGGCTCGGGCCAGAGCTCCCAGCAGCAGCAGCGTCCCCAGTCGACCCAGCAGCTTCGTGAGTGGCTTGCTCAGCGTGGGACGTCGGGGGCCAGTGCCCGCTGTTCTTATGTCATTCGCACAGGTGACCGCAAGGGACAGACGTGTGGGAGGTTCCACACCCCGTACCGCTGCTTCTCCCGCCTTGACGACGCTTGGCGTGAGGAGATGGGTGCGGATGTTGAGCGCCCCCGCTGGGCTGAGCTCATGAGGGCTGGTGTTGATGTCTTTGCTCTTGACTATGATGCTATTATTGCTGCCATGTATGCATTGACTGTTAGTGCCGAGGGAGACTGTTACTTGTGTGTGCCGCCTGACCCAGGTATAGAGCCTGCTGCCCTGGGTACTAGTGAGTCTGCTCTCTCTGGTATGGTGCCCCCTGTACTTGCTCCCCCCAGTGCTGTCCCGGCTGGTTTCGAGTCTGCTCTCTCAGGTACAGCACTCACACAGACTCCTCTCTCAGGTACCGCACCGGCTGAGGCCTGTCACACCTTCACCCTTGACTCAGGTGCTTCCCGTTGCTTCTTTCGTGACAGTACTGAGCTCACACCGCTTCCTGCACCGGTCCCAGTCTCCTTGGCTGACCCCTCTGGGGGCCCAGTCCTTGCCCAGTCCACCACTGTCCTCCCTTGTCCGGCGGTTCCGTCTGGCTCGTTGTCGGGTTTCCACCTCCCCTCGTTCTCGACGAACCTGGTGAGCAACGCTGTCCTCCAGGATCAGTGGGTTGATACCTTTACCCCTGGCGGACAGCGTGTGGCGATCTGCACGTGCTCCAGGACCGGCCGTCACCTGGCTACGTTCACCCGTCGGCCGGGGTCGAGTCTCTACACACTGACCACTGCGTCTCCCCAGGTAGCTGCTGTCGGTCAGGTGTCTGCGTCAGGTCTGGTGGCCCACGCCTGTGAGTGTCGTTCCCTGTCGCACCAGACTCTTCTCTGGCACCACCGCCTGGGTCACCCCTCCTTGCCACGCCTTCGTGGCATGCACCGTCGCCTCCTTGTGTCCGGTCTTCCCAGGTCCCTCCCTCCCCTCCCTGCCTCGCCTGCGCCGCCTTGCCTTCCTTGCGTCGAGGGGCGGCAGCGCGCCGCTCCTCACTCCTCCTCGTTCCCCCCGACAGAGGCTCCTCTGGAGACCCTCCACCTGGACGTGTGGGGCCCAGCCCGCGTTCGTGGTCAGGGCGGTGAGCGGTACTTTTTGCTGGTTGTCGACGACTACTCGCGTTACACCACGGTCTTCCCCTTGCGCACCAAGGGTGAGGTCCCTGCTGTTCTGATCCCTTGGATCCGCACGGTTCGTCTCCAGCTCCGCCGCCGTTTCCGGACGGATCTTCCTGTCCTGCGTCTGCACTCTGACAGAGGTGGTGAGTTTTCCTCCGATCTCTTGAGGACCTTCTGTCAGGCGGAGGGCATCGAGCAGACCTTCACGCTTCCGGACTCCCCACAGCAGAATGGGGTTGCTGAGCGTCGCATTGGCCTGGTCATGGAGGTCGCTCGTACCTCCTTGGTCCACGCGGCGGCTCCCCATTTTCTGTGGCCGTTTGCTGTCCGGTACGCCGCGCATCAGCTCAACCTCTGGCCCCGTGTCTCCTTGCCGGAGACCTCGCCCACACTGCGTTGGACGGGGGAGGTTGGCGATGCGTCGTGCTTCCGGGTGTGGGGTGCTCGTGCCCTTGTCCGCGATACGTCTGCGGACAAGCTCTCCTCCCGCACGCTTCCCTGTGTCTTCCTTGGCTTTGTCCCTGACGCGCCTGGCTGGCAGTTTTACCACCCCACCTCGCGCCGGGTCTTCGCCTCTCAGGATGTCACCTTTGACGAGTCGGTCCCCTTTTACCGTCTCTTCCCCTACCGCACTGCCCCCCTCCCTCCCCCGCCGCTTTTCCTTGCTCCTGGTCCCCCTCCGGTAGACCCCCTCCCCCCTCAGGGTCCTGCTCCTTCAGGTGTCTCTCAGGTAGACCCTCCTCCCGTCGCTGAGCCTGTCGAGGTCACAGGTGACTCAGGTGCTGCTGCGGGTGGTGCTGCTGGGAGTGCTGAGCCTGGGGGTGCTGGGCCTGGGGGTGCTGGGGCTGCAGGTGCTGGGACTGCGGGTGCTGGAGCTGAGGGTACTGTGCCTGAGAGTTTGCCGCCTGGGGGTGCTGAGCCTGGGGGTGCTGCGACTGGGGGTGCTGAGCCTGCGGGTACTGAGCCTGCGGGTACTGAGCCTGGGGGTGCTGCTACTGAGCCTACGGAGCCTCGGGTTACTGTGTCTGGGGGTGCTCCGGTTCGGGGTGCTGAGCAGTCTCTCACACCGCAGCAGCTTCGTGACTGGTACGTCCGACGCTTTCGCCGTCCTAGTGGCTCGGCTGGAGTTGGGGGTGCTGGAGTTGCTCGTCCTGGGGGTGCTCGTACTGGGGGTACTGGAGCTGCCGGGACTGGCTGTTCTGGGAGCACTGCGACTGGAGCTGCTGGAGCTGGGGACTCTGGCGTTGGCGGTGCTAGCGGAGTTGGAGCTCCCGACTCTGGGGGTGGCGCTGCTGCTGGTGCTGCGGACCCACCTGGTGGAGCTGCTGCTGGTACTGAGGAGTCGGACGGTGGAGCTGCTGCTGGAGCTGGGGACCCGGCCGGTGGAGCTGCTGCTGGTGCTGAGGACCCGGCCGCTGGAGTCCCTTCTGCTTCTGGAGACGCTGCGCGGCCGCGACCGTACTTCGTACCGCTCCTTCAG